TGTGCCATCTACTCTTATTATTGACCTAATCCTTGCTTCTAGCCAATCTAACAAACAGAAAACTAACAAATCTTAGCAAAAAAGTATTTAACTTTGAAGAAATAAGTATAGAGCAAAAATAGACAAAAGATGTCACACCTTACTTATATAATACCTTAGCATTCATTTAGAACCATTCCAGACCACTTTGGATGGTCTTAAGCTTAAAAATTTCAATTCTGACGTTAATTTTCGGAAAATTACTGTTCACTGTCCAGTTTTCAGATTACAGGTCTAACTTTGAAAAATCATAACTAATTCTAAAAATATCGTATGGAGGTGTTCCAAAATTCTACGGAAAGCTCTTTCAATGCTCTTTGAGGGAAAAATATTCAACTGAACTCATCCTCACTGAAAACGTACAGTTTATTGGATTAAAAATTACTATTCATTTGGTAAAATCTGGACTTTCCAGATTCTGCGCCTTAACTTTGAAAATTCATATCTCTTCGTATACACATCCAAATGAGGTGATTTACCACTCATTTTGAAGCTTGGGATGTGCACTATAGGTCTACCAAATCTCGTGATTTAACTCATTCATTTGGTAGGTCAAACTGAAGCTCAACACTAACTGCTTCAGAACCTACGTTTTATCCTTTAATATCTCCTTACTTTAATTCTTTTTATTTCTTTGACATACATAGCATGGGCTTAATCTTTCTCATTCATACTCATATACTTTCATTCATGCCATAAACATCCTAAGCATATACATTGAAGTAATGGCATTCATAACATAATTTACAGCATAGGAGAATTATACATTGAATAATAATATCATTCATTTGCCTTAATAATTCTCCACTTCTTCTCCTTGCTTCTCATGCCATTAGTGCCCATCATTGATTCACCTAAATGGTTGGTTAGGGAGGGGGTGAGATTCGGGGGAATCTCAGTAGCAAACATTACCACATACATGCACAAGATAGATGCTAGTGTATGGTATGTAGTTTTTCATAAACTTAAGTTACCTAGTGACATGCCATCATGCTTTATGCTTGGTATAAAAATGCATGGCCATGGGAACATATTAAAAACAGCATTTCCAGCAACAATCATCATGTCACAACATCATTCAAACAACAAATACAAACCAACACATAAGCATACCATGTCAAGCACATAAAGGGTAAGTTCACTACCTTGCACCTCAAGCTTTCCTCTTACTTTTCCTTTGACTCCCTTGACTTTCCAACCATGTGGGCATTCGATCAACATCACTAAACATCCTCTTGGATGTTCCAAAGGTCCTAAACATAACCATAATGATGACACAATCCATTAGGACCATTAGATTACATAAAGTTCAAGACTAGCTTTCTTGAACCTCAACCCCTTTCTCTTAGTCTTAGGGTTTTCTTTCTAACTTTTCTAATATAAATCTTATCATTTTACATCCTTATGATCTATTTTCTATCAATTAGGACCACTTTAGATGGCTTTAGATTCAAGAATACCAAATCTGGAAATTTTGGTTCGCGGGTACTGTTCACGCAGAATCTCCAGAATTTTTGCTCAACTTTGAAAATTCATAATTAAATCTAGAAAACTCCAAATTGAGTGCTTCCAAGTCTCACTGAAATCTAATTAAGTTAAATTTAAAAGAAAAATAGTTTCAGGAACCAATTCTACTCAGAACAGTACCAGAATTGTACGGAACTCGACAATCTCCCAAAAGTTCAACACTGTTTCCAGATTTCAAACCCTAACTTTGAAAAATCACCATAAATCGTACACATATCCAAATAAAGTGTTCTACCCATGGATTTAAAGCTCATAGAGTGTACTTTAAGCATGCCAAATTTCAGAACCAGATATGAACAGTAACTAATTCGAAAAAGCCATCAAATCAGCACGTAATTCTTCCAATTTTCACATAGATCCACTTGGATGTACCATACTTTGAGGTGTTCTAGCAAGATCTAACAACCAAATTCCCTTCCCCACTCATCAACCATTTCGACCAGCCATCAAAAGGGAGAGAAGACATATTTTCAACCATAAAAGAGAAAGAAACCAAGGCAAGAACACATCTAGAGCCAAGAACTCACCTTGAACCTTGATTGTATGACCAAAGTTGATGCCTTTCTCTTGGTTTTCCCTCAAAACTCTCTCTTTTTCCCTCTCTTCATGCCTTGCACGAAATTACCATCTGATTTAGGGGAGAGATGAGCTCATTAATGTGTTCAAAATATCGCACCAACCATCATTAATGTTATGCCAAGTGTCATTAGCCTACTTAATCTTAATCCTCCCTCTTAATTAACTTAAATCATAATGTAATTAAATTCCAAAGTCAAGATCCTCTCCATTGGTAGCTTGACACTTGGAAAGCTTTAATTACCATCCATTAAAGGCTTGACAAGTGGCGACTTGTGGCCCAAGTAAAGTGCAAGACTCTGATTAATACTTTATTGGTGCACTTTTACTCCGGCTTTCTTTATGGCCTTTCGAGCTCAGAAAATTATTCTGTCTGCTTTATAAATTCCCTTTAATTCTAGAGAATATCTATGAATTTTCTTAGGCCATAACACTTCCTTTAAACCTTGCATAAAAATTTATTTACCAAAATACCCTTTTATCGGCAAAACCGGCTCTTTAATTTATTAAAGCCACTCCACTGGTCTTTTGGTTGCGGGACTAATTTTATAAATTAGTACAACCTTTCAACCATTTAACCTCATTTTTGTATACACTTTTGAGGTCTCTTGCTATTTCAAATAATTACCTCAAACGGTATACTTTTTACCGGTCACAACCTCATAAATTCCATTTAAGCTGCCTCAGGGGTATTTTCATCTTTTCTCTTCATAGAAGAGTCTTAGAATATTATTTCCCACTTTCTAGGATTTTTCTTGGAATTCTCTGTGTACTCTTCCATTTTTACCCTTGCTGGTTATAACTTTTTGAATTTACGGTTTTACCCCTGCTTAAGCCTAACCTCATAGAACCATCTCTTTGAGGTTTCTAACTTACCCATTGGCCGGTATCTAGCCTCTTTTCTCTTTTTGGGCCTTCGAGACTTTACTGGAGCCTCTAACCTTAATTATACTCGAGCCCCTGAAAACTTTTTCTTTGCAGTTTAGTCCCTGAAACTGCTTTAACTTCCTTTCTCGTCTTTGGGACTTCTGCTCACAGGGGTCTGATAGCCTATCTAATTCAGGCTATTACTGGTACTTCTAGGCCTAAAACTTTGGATGTTACAAAAGAAACCATAAAACCTTAACCTTTGAGGTGTTAAAGTGCACATAGAGTTTCATAAACACTCTTTTCCTATTCTTTAAAGCTTCCTTGCTTATCTCAATTGACACATCATATCCAAGGTTCAAAGTCCTCAACTCTTGACAATATGCTTCAAGGTTGTTAAATTCATCCACATAACTGCCCTCTATGTCTTGCATAATCAGTCTCTCTGCCCTTTTGCATTTAAATATGCTAATATAAAGCTTGTACTCATCCTCAACATCTTTATTCATGTCAAATGCCTTATATTGTTACATCTCCTGCACCTTCCTCTTGAAGTGTAAATTTAACCACTTCACTCTAACCCTGGAGTTCTTGAAAAGCCTTACCCATCTGTGCTCCAAGCAAAGTGTCTTTAGTAGTAGCCCAAGGTTTAACCCATCTTTCGAAGCATAGAAGACAAAAGGGCAACCCTCCTCGTACCAAGCCTTTACTTTAAATGGCTCACTTTTAACAAGCTAAATCTTCACTGCCAATTTGATTACATGCCTATCAATTGATTTTAACAATTTGGCCTAGTTAGCATAAGTTTGATCTAGCATGAAAAAAAGCCTCATATTGTCACTAGTCCGTTCTTCATGGGCCATAACTTCTTCTGGAAGCCAATAAACTAGGCCCAATTCCTCATCTTCAAGTTCGGTGTCCTCGCCACCTTCATCCACTAACACATCTTCTCTTCTCAGGCAAAAGTCTTCATCCTCACCATCAAAATCGTCCCTCTCATCCTCACTATCAGTGCATTCCCCATCAATCTCATCTTCATTATGTTCCCCCTCCACCTCACTTCCTCTACTCAAGCCATCATTTTCTCTATTATCATGCCATGCCTCAATTACAAGACGATGTTCTGTATTTCTATCTTCCTCCTCACATTTCCTCAAATACGCCTGACATTCCCACTCCTCCCTCTCAATCTCTTCCCAATTTTCTTCATATACCTTTTTGTGGTTCTCATCATTTTCATCTATCAAACTCTAATAAGAACATACCCCCTTATTCTAATCCATCTCCTCTAACTCATCATCTGACACTTGAACAACACACTTAACTTTGCCCTTTCCCCCATTTTGCTCAACTTCATTATTATCACCCTTTCTTATGTCACCAACCCTGTCAATAGAAGATACCCTGGCTCTGTCCTTCTTCGACTCACCCAACTCAATCCCCCTGTACACATTCGATGATATACATGTTAAGATTGACGCAGAAATTGATTCATGACCCTCCCAAAGATGTGCTTTTGTAGCTTATATTGCTTTCTTCGTAGCATTAAACTCGGTAATTAAAGCTTCCAACTTTGACAAAAACTCAAGATTGGGACCACCGTCGAGTCTATCATTTTCACCATCCGAAGCCATTTAACACTATCCCTATTAAATTAATACCCACAAAACTATCATAGCAACATAACACAAATACAAACAATATGCTATTCTGAAATCTCACTATAATGTTGTTAAAGATTCAACTTCTTACTTGAAAAGCGAGGACAAATCTATCTCCGCTTTCTCATCTTGTCTATTCCATTACTCCGACCTCACATGCGTCCTTCTTCCCTAGCCACACGCATGATGCTTCCCTTTCCCCAACAGAGTCTGAAATTTTTGGCTTTATTTTTTTCCTTTTCTTTTTTTCTCATTTTTCTTACTTTGTAAACTTCAAATTTTCCAAGTATAATTGCCAGCTTCACAATAGTCATCAAGGCGTCAATCAAATTAAAAAGACAGGCAAAAAATAAAATTAAAATCTCCTACGTTCCTAGGAAATGTCATTCACTTCTATAAATTTAAAAAAAAACAGTAAAAAAAAAAAAATCCTCCTTCGTTTCCATGCGAGGCTCTTTTTATTGACAACCTACTGAGAGCACACGAGTTTAATGATATAACATCATACTCACTGATCATGCCTAATAATAGTAGCCTCACGCTATCAAACACGTGTCTAGCACTACAATACAAAACCCAATGCCTTGATCCTCTCATAAAGGAAACCATAAAGAAATACCCCATTAGACTTTAATCCAACTTTTTCTCTTCCTCCTCCACTCCATATTCATCATCCTCATCCTCATCGTATTCTTCATGGTGAACATCTTCATCATATATACGGCTCCGAGGCCACTGGCTGAGCTCAAGTTGAGTTTGCTCCTCATTTAAGAAGTCAATCCCATATTGCGTGTTGCGATGTTTAACCAGTAGCCAGCGAAGTAGTCGGTCTTCTTTGCTTAAGTAATGCAGCTCCTTATTGATGCTGGGTGTAGCCATCATAGTCATTTGCATCATTTGACCCTACAATCATGTAAATAGAATATTGCCAGCTCGTTATGGGACAACTTTCAAAGATTAATTTATCTAGCCCCCAGAAACAGTTATTGTCAGGTTCATCAAATTTGAAGGTAGACAAACACTTCCAGATAAAATAGTTAAGAGAAAGAATTCCCATATTTATAAAGGCAGGATACATGAAGAACTATGAGATCTGAGTACCATTTTATGATTGATATGATCAAAATTAAAAAGCATCGTTTGGTTGATATTTATTTAGACTTAGTTTCATGTGGAGAAACCACTTAACGCAAGACCCTCTACTTTCTTTTTATTAGCATTAGCACAGGATGCTAATAATAGATTGCATCAATTCTGAGAAGGTCAATAAGGGAAACAGCTGTTCCGCAAGAAAAACCCATCTCGCAAGATCAGTGTTAAGTCTATACAGCAAAATTGGGATGTATTACAAGATAAAAAGACTTGATAAGAAAAATATATTTACAAACTCAGATGACTTGCATTATGCTTGGCATGCACTTCTTGTAACAGGACCACAATATCTAGGTATAAACCCCCTGTTAGGTATAACAGCCGTTGAAAGAGCCTCATGATCAAATATTAAACATCCTATCAAATTTCAACTACAGACCAGACAAACTGTTTAGATCCCCAACAACTTGTTTTGACATGATCGGCACCATTGAAAAAATTGCTCCAAATGAAACTGTTATAGTCAGGTTTTGGATAGTTTTTGGCAGCAGACATGGATGGCGACTGTTTTGGATAGGTTTTTACCACTTCTTGGTGGGGTGGGTAAAAGAGCAGCGAGAGGTGGTGTGGAAAAATATTGAGGAGTGTTGGAGAGAATTTCTGGCATCTCAACAATTTTTTTTTGGGGCAGAAGGCATCTCAACAAATTAGGGAAATTCATTGTATACTAGATATTAGATGCCTATTTGTAAAGTGCATTCCAGCATATTTTATATACATTACTAGCTCTGTATTCGGGCTTCCATCAATTTGGTACTCATGCAATGAAAGTCAGAAACATGGAGACATGAGTGGAGTGTATATCTGAGGAGTCGAAAAGAGACTCTGCTGTAAATAGAAGTGAGACGGAAACTGTGAGAAAGGAAATAAATCTAACAGGTTTCTGGTTTTGGTGAAGTCAGGAAAGTCTTTTGCTAGACTTAAGAAAGGAGTTGGCAGAATCCAGAGAATAATTTTGGTTGTGCATATAATTGATGAGAAAAGAGAAAAAATAGAAAAGAAGCCTAATTTAATAAGTTTTGAAATTGAGGAGAGCCAGGAATGGAACTTCCCTAAGAACAACAACTAGGGCCCCTTCATTCCCTGGATGATGATCCGGTGGAAAGAACAAGAGGGAAGGAATTAAACAAGAGATCGAGTTTTCCGGCCATCACATGAAAGAAATGAAGGGAAAATATCTACTACTATTTTGTGGGTGAGAATGGGTGAGAAGGAACAAAGAAAATCTTCACCCATCTCTGTCTATGATGGAAAGAAATGAACAGACAAGATACTAGCAATGAAAAGGGACAACAAATTGCAGAAGAAAATGAAAACTGTAAATGTGCCACTGACATTTCCAAGACTTTAATCATGGGGTAAATTGCCACAAGTGAAATAAAGCTAGAAGTGAATACCAAGGAGCAAGAGGTTATGGTGCTGGTTGGTATTCTGAAAGCTACTGGATTAAGTGTTTTAAGGCAATTAGAGTAAAGTTCAATTGGGAGGCAGCCGGTGGTCACAACTTTGGTTCTTGCCTTGAGAGTGCGGCAAAGGTTTGAACCTGGTATTCATGGGATCTCATTTTCCTTAGCCACTATCATGCAACTGTTTTAAGTTACTCCCTCTGCCCCTTTTTATAAGAGACAATTTCTTGAATAGACATGTTCATTTTTATAAGATACATTTTGGAGTTGTCTAAATATGAATGCATTTTTTCTATTTTTACCCTCAATTAATTAAATGTGTCTGTCATCTCTTTTGCCACTTGTTAGAAGCCCTTGATTCTCTCCCTGATTCTCTCCCTTTATTCTCTCCATGGTTTACCCATGATTCTAGCTAGACAATGAATTCCTGATTACTTGTGATATTGCAATATCTTTCATTTATTACTGATTGATTGTAACCGGTAGTATGAGACTCTATATATTGTACCCACATCATATGAAATAATATGGCAGAGTGAATTTTCAATACTCTTTAAGCATGGTATCAGAGCACGTGAGCTTGGAAAGGGTCCTGGAGAGTCTGCCGTGAGCCAGAGAGAGAGAGACGGCGAGGAGAGAGAGAGAGAGTGAGTGAGGCGTCCTCAAAACTGGAACCAGAAGTGGTCCGTGGACGACACCACCCCTCCAGGCCTCACCGGCGTCCCCAGATCGGCGCGTCCCCAGAAGCCGACGTCCAACGGAGCTGCGCGTGACCCTCACGCGCCGTTACAAGCTCCGCGCGTGAATCCCACGCACCGCCACGCCCCGCCACTGTACCAGCGCGTGTCGCCCACGCGCCGCCGCCAGAGACCTCCAGTACCTCCCAGAGACCCAGAAGATGGATAACCCAGAATTCCCACCACTTTTTGGGTCTGTTCGCAATATTCCAAGGGTTCTCATGTCCGGTACATCTTCAAATACTCAAGCTACTCCTTCTTCACTGGTGGTTACTCCTTCTTCAGATCTGACAGTAGCCGCTGAACCTCAAGCTATGGGGGTAGCCCACAAACTTAATGGAAGCAATTATCTCCAATGGTCTCAAAGTGTATTAATGTATCTGCGTGGGAAGCGTAAGGAGAAGTATATCAATGGAGAAGCAACACAACCTTCGCATAATGATCCCAAATTTGATACCTGGTTCGCTGAAAATAATCAGGTGATGTCTTGGTTGTGCAATTCAATGACTCTCGAAATCAGTGAAGGATACCTTCTTGCAAGTACAGCCAAGGAAATCTGGGATGCTGCTAAGCGGACCTACTCTACCCTCGATAACACTGCAGCCTTATTAGATCTAAAGAGGCAGCTCAAAGATCTGAAACAAGGCAACTTAACTGTGACTCAATACTACAGTACGTTGACAAAGATATGGCAGCAATTGGACCTCTTTGAAGTACATCCTTGGAAGGATATGGATGATGCTAATTACTACAGACAATTGGTGGAAAGAGGACGAACATATGACTTTCTGTTGGGCCTGAATGATGTTTTTGAAGAAGTGAGAGGGAGAATTATGGGACTGAAGCCGCTGCCATCCCTATTTGAAGTCTTCAGTATGGTTAAGTTCGAAGAAAGCCGAAGACACCTCACTCAAGGCAGCCTGACCGCAGCAGAGGGCTCGGCATTGGTGACGAGGGGGTTCCAGACATCAGAGGGCCCTGAGAAGAAAGGGAACAAGTGGTGCAACCACTGTAACAAGAGAGGCCACACCAGAGATGAATGCTGGAAACTACATGGGAAACCAACTCAAGGGAAACAGAAACAACGGGAAGATAGAAGGAGCCACCACACCTCCTCTGAAGAAAAAGGTGATGATGGAGACCAATTGACCAGAGAAGAGCTTCAAATGCTTCGTAAGATACTTGAAAAACAAACCAAATCAAAATCTGCTCCCAACGTGAACTTGATACAGTCAGGTAATTCCATTATAGCCCTCAATGCAATGATAACTAGTGATGAGACTTGGATTGTTGACTCCGGTGCTACAGATCACATGACTGGTAATAAGTCCTTCTTCAAAACCCTCAAATATTGCCATGAGAACCTTAGAGTAAAAGTGGCAACTGGACTGTATACTAAAGTTGAGGGTGTTGGCAGTGTGGCTCTATCTGAAGATCTGGAAATCCATAATGTTTTGTTTGTCCCTGCTCTTACTTGCAATCTTATTTCTGTGAGCAAATTAACTAAAGGGAAAGCATGTCGGGTGATATTTGATGATGTTAAATGTGTTTTTCAGGATTCGACCTCGGGGAGGAAGATTTTGACTGCTAAAGAATGGGATGGACTCTACTACTTTGAAGGAAAGGATATGAAGACAGCAGGAGCAAAGAAAGCTATGGTTAGCTCCAACTCTCAGAATAAAAATGTAATGTTGTGGCATCAAAGATTAGGCCACCCCAGCTTTGATTATATGAAGCATGTGTTTCCAACTTTATTCAATAAAAATTCTTCTCCTTTCCAATGTGAAACGTGTCAAATTGCTAAACAAACTCGCGCCTCTTATCCCAAACATACTTACAAACCTTCTACCCCGTTCACAATGATCCATACCGACATTTGGGGACCAGCCAAAACCAACACCCGAACAGGCACAAAGTGGTTTATCACATTCATAGATGATCACACCCGGGTCACATGGGTTTACCTTATGAAAGAGAAATCCGAAGCCCTACAAATTTTCAAAAACTTTTACTCGTTTGTGAGAACCCAATTCCAAACTACCATCAAAGTCCTGAGAAGTGACAATGCCAAAGAGTATGTGAGTGGAGCCTTTAGGGAATTTCTTGAGCAGGAGGGAATCCATCACCAAACCTCATGTGTTTATACTCCTCAACAAAATGGAGTTGCTGAGCGAAAGAATAGACACCTTTTGGAAGTGACCCGAGCTATTATGATGGAAAGAAATGTTCCAAATCTGTTTTGGGGAGATGCTGTACTAACCGCAGCCTATCTTATCAACCGCATGGCCTCTAAAATTCTCCACTTTAGTACCCCTATTCAAAAGCTCCTCGAGACTTACCCCACTTCACCTATCATCAATACCATCCCTCAAAAGGTCTTTGGGTGTGTCGTCTTTGTCCATAAACATGATGGAGGCAAACTAGGTGCTAGAGCAGAAAAATGCATTTTCCTCGGGTATTCCTCCACCAAAAAGGGGTACAAGTGTTATTGTCCCACCACCAGAAAACTTATAATCTCCAAAGACACAGTCTTTTATGAGGATGATGCTTACTATCCCAAATTACCCATTCAGGGGGAGCACTATGGAGTAGAATGGCTAATTACATCCGAACCTATAACCATACCGCCTCAAGACAACATCCCTGAACCGGAAACGGAACCAAAAACCCCTACTACTACACCTTCTCCAGAACACCAAAACTCCACAAACATCCCTCACCCAATGGAAACCAATGCTGAAATTGATGCAGGGGTGACAGAGCACTCAAGTCCTCAATCAGGTGAACAGGACAGTAGTAGTAGGGTTCCTTCCATTCCAAGGCAGCAACATGATTCCAATCCGGAGTTGGATCCTGAAGAACTGGGATGGCCTATTGCACTTAGAAAGGGGGTAAGATCGTGTACTCAACATCCTATTCAAAAATTTGTCTCCTATGGCAATTTATCTGCGAGAATGCAAACTTTTGTAGTGAATAGCTCACAGGTGAAAATTCCAGAAACATTTCAACAGGCTGTAACAGATCCTAATTGGAAACATGCTGCATATGAGGAGTTGAGAGCCTTGAAGGAGAATAACACGTGGGATATCACCACACTTCCTAAAGGCAAGAAAGCAGTGGGTTGCAGGTGGATCTTCACCCCTAAATTCAATCCTGATGGCAGCATCAACAAGTACAAAGGAAGATTAGTTGCCAAAGGGTACACCCAAACCTATGGGATTGATTATCAAGAAACGTTTGCTCCTGTGGCAAAATTCAACACCATCCAGGTACTCCTGTCCCTAGCTGCCAACCTTGATTGGCCCCTACATCAACTAGATGTGAAGAATGCTTTCCTAAATGGAGATTTGGAGGAGGAAGTGTACATGGAAATTCCAGATGGAGTAATAGCTCCGCCCAACTCAGTTTGCAAATTGAAGAAATCATTATATGGCCTGAAACAATCTCCACGAGCATGGTTCGACAGGTTTGCCAAAGCGATCAAAAGGTTTGGCTACATTCAAGGACAAGCTGATCACACTCTTTTCGTCAAACACAGTGATGGAAAGGTAACGATCCTAATTGTGTATGTGGATGATATAGTCATAACTGGCAGTGATGAGGTTTCTATCTCCCACCTCAAGAAGGCCCTGGCTAGGGAATTCCAAGTGAAGGATCTAGGCCAAATGAAGTACTTTCTTGGAATGGAGGTTGCTAGATCCAAAAAGGGTATAAGTGTGTCTCAACGAAAGTACACACTGGACTTACTCCACGAAACAGGAATACTTGGGGCTAAACCTAGTGAGACTCCTATGGAAGAGTCATGCAATCTGGAAGTGAAACCAAAAGGGACACCAGTTAACTCAGAAAGGTACAGAAGACTTGTAGGCAAACTAATCTACTTGACTCATACAAGGCCTGACATTAGTTATGCAGTTGGAGTGGTAAGCCAATTTATGCATCAACCCCAGGAAGAACACATGGAAGCAGTATACAGAATCCTCACCTACCTCAAACTCAACCCTGGAAGAGGACTATTCTTTAAAAAGGGGAGTACAAGGAGCATCGAGGTCTACACTGATGCAGATCATGGGAGAGCTGTGGATAACAGAAGATCTGTCACAGGATACTGTACTTATGTTTGGGGAAACTTAGTCACTTGGCGAAGCAAGAAATAGACAGTAGTCTCAAGAAGCAGTGCTGAGGCTGAGCTAAGAGCTGTAGCCCTGGGGGTATGTGAAGGAATGTGGGTGATTAGACTTCTGAAGGAATTGAGAATCTCCTATGAAGGACCTATGAATCTCTGGTGTGACAATCAAGCCAGCATTGAAATGACCAAAAATCCTGTGTATCACGACCGAACAAAGCATGTTGACATTGATCGGCACTTCATCAAAGAAAAGGTCGAGGATGGCATCATTAACTTGAACTATGTGCATTCAACTGATCAGATTGCTGACATCATGACCAAACCGTTAGCCAGAGTCAAGTTTGAAGGGCTTCGAAGCAAGCTGGGAATGGTTGACATCTACTCTCCAGCTTGAGGGGGAGTGTTAGAAGCCCTTGATTCTCTCCCTGATTCTCTCCCTTTATTCTCTCCATGGTTTACCCATGATTCTAGCTAGACAATGAATTCCTGATTACTTGTGATATTGCAATATCTTTCATTTATTACTGATTGATTGTAACCGGTAGTATGAGACTCTATATATTGTACCCACATCATATGAAATAATATGGCAGAGTGAATTTTCAATACTCTTTAAGCACCACTCACTCTCTCTCCCCCACCCACATTCTCCACAAAAGAGGGCATTTTTACCAAAATTCAATTTTCACATGTTTAGTGCACCTAACTAACCTTTCGAACAACATAAATCAGTTAATTGTATCTAATAAAAAGAAATGGAGAGAGTAATTTTTATGCAATAGAGGATAGTTATGTAACTGTTTGGGAAGCTCTACACAATTTGAGGGTGGTTATAAAAGCATTCTGCTCAGTTTTTTGGTAGTCTTAGTGGTAACTGTTTTGGAAGGTTTTGCCAGTGGTTAAAGATTAAAACGATGAAGAGGGAAGGAGAGGAAAAGCATTGCAGAGTATTTAAAATATTCCTACTATAACTAGGGGGACTCATTGTCATTAGATTTGCTTATTTGAGTGTGTGCAATTGTGCATGTGTATTTTGCATATTTTACATATGACCCTAGTTCTCTATTCAGGACTCCATCAGAATTATCCAAAAAATGGTGGTTTGGCTTCAGCTACTTATCAATAACTTACAAGTAGCTCTGTCATTAAAATGAGGCTAACAGGCAAGAGGGGAAAACCGGGCAGTCAAGGAGTTCAAGATGACAATGCCGTGTCAGACTCATTAGCTAACAAGTAACAATTAATCTTACAGGTTGGGGAATCATTTCATTAATCTCAACAAACAATTAAATTGAATTATATTATATCTTACTGTTATAGTCTTCAAATCAGATAACACAAAACGAAATATCAGTTGCATTCTTGAGTTCTTGAGGATAAAAACGGAACTTCATTGCAAGCATTCAGAGCCAACAATGCTACAATAACACATGTTATCCAAATGCATAATCATAAAAGAAACTAAAGACAAATGTAAACACAATCATAGCAACATCATCGATTATCAAACCTCACCTGATAATATCTGCCATCTAGCTTTTTAATACCATAGCCCAACTGAACTGTTCCAAAAGACTTTATATCAGTGAGAACTCCATTTCTTCTATAAACATGTTTTCCCACCCTAGCAACCAAATCCATGATAGGTTCCTTCTTTAAATGAGGCTTAAATAGAAGCATGCAATCGTAAAGAGGCATTTTTTTTTTTCCTGCTTTGAGGGAGCCAAATCAGCCACGGATCTGCTTCACCAAGCAACCAATTAACAAAGTTATAGGAATCTTACAAATTTCCATTTTCCGAGTATCTAATCCAATATGAATTATCAATATCAAACACTGATAACTATTAAAACACAAATCACGGGGTTTAGAATTTAGATAGATAAATGTCAATCTCGTAATTATCAAAGAGCGACTGTCAGCACACACATGTCAATAATTTTGTTCCTATCTCTTTTTACCTTTGAGCAAACTGACACTAATTATCATAAAGTTTTTCAATATGATGAAGATTGAGACCGATATTAAGTTCCTACGGTTCCAATTCTATCATTTACAAATATTATGGTTTACCGAATTCCACGATATACGCAGGATTGGGTTTACCAAACTAAAGATAGATATGACCACATTTTCAATCTAAGCACGTGGATCGTTTTCCTACTGACGGTCTATTAACCCTGCATTGCATCCGCATAAAATAGATATTTGCTTATAGAATCAGATTCACAATGAGCCAATAATAGGTATTCACAAGGGAAACTCACTAATGGATACCTTTGAAATCTTTTATGCAGGAAGAAGCCGTATATGTATGATCAATGATCGAAATGGAGAAGATGACGCCGCTAACTACGGATAACGTGAGAACGCTCCGGTTGGGGCTTCTCCGGATAGGGTCTTCGCCGCGCAGGTCAGCCGCCGGAGGAGAACGGCGGAGAGCTGAAGGTAGCCACGCAGAGACAGTGGAGAAGAAGTGAAGTGAAGACGAGTACGATGACAACCAGCAAAAAAGGTAGGGCAGTTTTAAACGACGTAGTATTGCTACACCCCCGGTCCCGCGTTGCTTCCAGCACGTCAGCTTGATGCCTAATTATTTTTTTAGTAAATGTACATTAAGGAAAGGGAAAATCGCAAAAAAAAAAGATTCCTAAATTATTAAAATAGCACCTAAATAAGCTAAACTGCTTGGAGAGACTAGATACTACTCCCTCCGTTCTTTATTATAAGAGACGAATAACCGAATTACGTTGATAAAAAAAAAGTTAAAATTAGTTAAGAACAATCAATGTGTAAAAAGTATAATTTTTTTTCCAAAAATGTCCTCATTAATAAGGAGAGAGAGCATGAGAAAGAACAATTAAATTATTAAAAGAAAGAGAAGTGGGAGGGAGAGAGAGTGTGAGTTGGAGACAATAAATATGAATAAAATAGGAAATCAACACAAAAAGTTAGAGACAACTTTTAAGTGTCTCTTATATATAGGAACATGCCATAAGCATCAAATGTCTCTTATAATAAGGAACGGAAGGAGTACTATTAAATTGCAATTATCAAATCAAGTCTAAAAGGCAAAAATACCCCTCTATATTTTGAAAAAAGAAAAAAGAAAAACAGTATCGTGTGCAAATCTCCAATGTCGAGTAACTTCCCACTCTTCTCTTCATTATCTCTATTTTCACACATGTTCTTCCTTACATTGTGCCCTAAGACTAGAGCCAAAGTCATCTGTGAAAGACTCATTAAGTACATTCGAAGATAGATCTACATTCTAAACAGATTGAAATAAGAGGTGTTCGAATCTCAAGATCTTCAAAAATCGAACCCAAAAGCTTATTATTGGGAAAAGCCAAACTAATCACTCAAAACTTGCCTCCAATTTTTGTACACTTGACTCCATTCCATGACTATAGTGACTCACCGTTGTAGCACCCATTTTTTAAGACTGAAAGTGGGTTCTTAGAATTAAATACTTGAAGGATAGCAAGAGAACCCCATCAGGATTCAGAGCAAATGACCAAGGAAAAAGAAGAAGAAAATGAAAGAATAAAACTTTACAGGCCAAAAGAGGATTCCTAGGGTTGAAGTTCGTTATTCCATGATGATGGTGATGGTGATACAGCATAATTGCAGAAGCTACGGGTTGATGGTGCAGAAAAAGGGAAAGGAGAAAAGAGCAGAATGGAGATGGGGAGCAGTTGCAGCTTCCTTCTTCTGTTGACCAAATCTTTAGACAATTTAATGGAGAACTATTTCTATGAACTGCTACTAGCTACGATGTTCTTTTTCTAACCCATGCCAAGTACTGGAACTGTTTGGTAGGATTGCAGCATGTTCAATTGATCAACTCTGATGCTTTTATGGAAAGAAGTACTTGTGATTAGTTATACTTGCCTATTAGTAGTAAATGAGAATATTAGGTGCTGATATTTTTTCCTAGCGAAGCAGAATAAAGAAGGGCACTACGCCTGACCCATGAAACAATGAACATGAAATTGTTTTCTTTTTCGATCATTCCTTTTTCAGATTTATGATTCTTCCAAGAGTTATGTCATCTTATTTGCATAAGTGAATTTATTATTTTTAAGTGTAGAGTTGTTATTTCAAATATCTAAATTATAATTTTTAATACTGTGCTTGTTATTACAATAACTTGTTGTTTGTTATTTTCAAAATTTAATTAGTTATTTTTATAATTTAACTTGTTATTTTCAATAATAAACTTGTTATATTTGACTTGTTATTTATAACAATGAACTTGTTATTTTCATATTCAACGTTGTTATTTGGAAATAATGCTAATTTCTACTAAAATTTAAGTTAATATGAATAATTTTTTTAATACTTGTTATTTCTCATACTAAACTTGTCATTGATAACTGACTTATAAAAATAATGCTAATTTCTACTAAAACTTGAGTTGTTATAAATAGATTTTAAACATTTGTTATTTTTCATATTTGATTTGTCATTAACAACTAAATTGTAAAAATAATATTAATTTCTGCTAAACCTTGATACAATGCAAATTCTTTTAAATATCAGTTGAGTTTGAATACCTCTACCTTTATTCACACTTCACTCTATTCCTATTATTTGAAACAGTCTCGCATGTCTTTTTAAAATGTAATTTTTAATTTGATTTTATTTAAAGTGAGACTTCTAATGTTGATTCATGAAATCCAAGTCATAGGATTAATTTAGGGCAGTCCCATATGTCTCTCATTCTCTTGTCGTCCTATGTTAAAAAATGAGATGTTTTTCTTTTTCATGATGGAATTGAAAAGCCAAGAGTGCGTAGAATAGTAATGGAAATCATAGACTATAAAATAGACAAAATGGAGTGTGTGTAGTACTAATAAAGTCAATGACTAATTAAATAAAATAAAATAAATTAAGATATTCATTTTAAACAATAGTCCAGGGATCAAAGTTATTTTTTTCCCTCAGAATTTTACTTTACTTTGAGATAAAAATAATGCCATATTCTAAAGTTGTAATTTGGCACTCACAGCAACTTGTTATTTGGCACATAGGACTTATTATTGACAATTAAATTGTGAAAACAATATTAATTTGTGATAAAATTTAAATTGTTATGAATAGCTTTTTAACACTTGTTATTTCCTATACTAAACTTGTCATTAGCAACTAAACTATAAAAATAATATTAATTTCTGATAAAACTTAAATTACTGTGATTAGCTTTTCAATACTTGTTATTTCTTATACTTAACTAATCATTGACAATTAAATTGTAAAAATGATGCAATTTCTGTTAAAACTTAAGATAATGTGAATAGCTTTTCAATACTTGTTATTTTCTATGCTAAACTTGTTATTAGCAGCTAAATTGTAGAAATAATGTCAATTTAAGTTATCGTGAATAGCTTTTCAATACTTGTTATTTATTATATTAGACTTATTATTTCTCATATTAGACTTGTCATCAGCAACTAAATTATGAAAATAATGTCAGTTTTTTTTTTAAAACTTAAGTTATTGTGAATAGCTTTTTAAAACTTGTTATTTATCATATTAGATTTGTTATTTTCCATACTAGATTTTTCATTGTCAGTAATTTCACTAATGCAATTCTCTTGGCTCATGTTTGTATTAGCAAGTGATTTTAATTCTTAGATGTTCAATTGTTTTTTTAACCATGCACAGTTACTCTGATTCTAATTCTTATATATTCATATTTTTTTTTTCACCATGCGTAGTTACTCTGTATCTGCGGTCATCACGCGAACTACGTTGAGTAGGTGAAGCTGGCGAGAAGGAACGTCTGACAAATTTAAGAGACCTTTGCCAACACCTTTTTAGCGGGAAGGTCCGTATGAGATCCCAGAAAGGACATTGAGAGCCACTTGATCGGTATATGTTGTACATATATTGAACTGTTCTCCTTGAAAGCCCATAATGTTGCAATTATAACAACAGTGAGACTCTTAAATCACGAAGGCCCATGATCATTAATTCTCTTGACAAAGAACAATGATTACACTGATGACCCAGCAACCCAAATCTGAAAACGAAGCTTGTCACTTTTGCGGATGAGAATGAGAGTATGTTTAGATTGGAATTAGACAAAACTGACTTCTAATCCAATTAATTTTTATAACTGAAGTTATAGTAAAAATCAGTTAGAGTATGTTTGGATAGGTGCTTTCAAAAAGTCAGTTGGAAAAGTTAAAAATTGTTTAAATGAATAGAAAAATTAGTTCAGTTGTAAAATAATTGAAAATGGTATATACTTTATTAAATAGTAATATTTAATATTTTTAATGTGATAATTGTTGAAAAAATATCTAAAATTATTATGATAAAATAAAAATAGTATTTGTGAGATTATAAAATAAAAATATTTGTTATTGAGAAAAATTTGAAAACACATTATAGATAATTAATTAAATATATATAATGGACAAACATGAACATAAATTAAAATTCATTTCGTCTCTAATTAGAGTAAATGAAATTACATAAGTAATTAGATCATACTTAATTAAATATATATAATAGACAAACATAAACGTAAATTAAATTAAAAGTCATTTGGTCTCTAATTAAAGTAAATGAAATCACATAACTAATTAGATTGTAAGCTTTGCACAATTTGGTCTCTAATTGAATCACGAGCACGATTCATTTGTGCGGTAGATGTTAAACTTGACGAGGATGCTTCGCCAGCTGGATGATTCTTGTCTTCATCTATTATACTTCCATGCTTAGCTTGTATAAAGCGGTCGTCAGTTAGAGAATTTTGCTTGATAAAAAATCAGTTGGAAAAGTTAAAAGTTATTTGGATAACAGAAATTTTAACTCCAATTTTCAAATTATTCACACGATTCATATTTGGATCAAACTTCAAACTCAGTGCGCAATGTAGTTGTATAATTGTTTTTTCAATATAATCAAGCAGCATAATCAATCGCGTGAATGATTTCTTTTTCCAATATTCAGATTGTTCATACACGCTAAATATATCCACATATCCAAATATAACCATGTGAATCAAAAGCTTCAACCAAGCCGAAATACATCCACATATCCTAGCTATAAGAAAATTTGCAAAGCGCATGAGAAAGTTCAGCCCCCCACACCCCTCATAATTGAACAAGTTGTGTGAGGGAGAAAGGAAGAGCCGGGTCTTGGTGGAGAGAATGAGATGGGAGAAAGAGAAGAAGAGGGGATATTTTGGTCTTTTCTCCAATATTTTATAATTGATATTTAAGACTCGATCCCTAATAATATTTTGGAAAAATCCCAAAAAAGGACCTTGGAATATGGAAAATCCCAGGTTGGGTCCTTAAATTTCGAAAATGACAGAATGGGTCATTGACCCAATCTGTCATTTGTGAAATTAAGGCGAATTGACAATTTTGCTCTCATTTGCATTCATTCACTACAATGATTTAAGGAATCACTATAAGGGTTTAGGTGTTACCTAGATTCGTATAGCGAATAACT